TTGGCTTCTTCTCCCTCATTCCACTGAGACATTACCACCACCATTGTTGTTCATCTTCTTCCACATCACCACTCATTTTACAAGAGAAATCAAAAAAACCACCATGAAAATCCCCTATTTAACCAATGCTCTAGAATATGCAAAGAACACCATAAGAACTACTTGTCCATTCACCGGAGATAACAACACATCCATTTTGGAAGCACACACTATATCTTTCACCATAAAAGTGGCTTGGCTCGAGTTTGGCATCAACCCTTGAAGTCTCTCTATTTTGCTTGTTCTTCATTTTCCTTTTGGTGATTTAGGTAAGAAATTTCGAGTTTCTTGCTGCAATTAGAAAATATCATATTATTTAAAAGAATTTTCAAGATTACCTAAAAGATTTTTAAGTATTTCGAAATTTAGGGCTTTTTGGGGAAAAATGGAAAAGAGGTGTTTAGTGTTAATTTCTTGTTCTTGCATCATCTATGTGGGTAGTGGGTAGATACAAGTGTTATTGGCCAAAAACATCAACAATTTCAGATTTCAAAAAGGGGGTTTCAAGAAAATGAATTTTGAACTTTTATGGGGTTGCATGTGTAGATCTTAATAAGTTTTGGGCCAAATCTGTAATTTTTTGAGAAGTCCGACCTAAATGTGTTTTCAAAACTGTTTTCCAGCATTTATTGAACAAAAATTTCGGATTTAAAGAAGCTTTGCAAGAAAAAGTGATTTTTGAACTCTTAGTGGTATTGCATGTGAAGATCTAGAGATTTTGGGGTAAATTTTGTAATTTTCGAAATTTCTGCATAAAGTGACTTTTCAACTTCGATTTCTGCATCTAATAAAATAGAATTTCAGATTTGTTAAGGGTTTTTCAAGAAAAAGTGGATTTTGAACTTCTAGTGTGGTTGCATGTGTAAATTTTGAAACTTTGGGGTCAAAACTGCAATTTCCGAAAAAATCTCTCATTTCTTGATTTTGAATCTGTTTGCCAGCAAGTATTAAATAAGAAAAAGTTTTTCTTAGGTTTTCAAAATATTAAAGTCATATTGGAGTTTTGGATTTTTTTAAATTACAAAGGGTTTGATATTTCTTTTAGTTTTTAATTTCTAGAAAAATTCGAAACTTTGTGAAAACTTGAATAAATTTCAGAATCTGAAATTTGGATTAGTTAGGAGTTCTAGGATGTAATTTGAGAATTTTTAAAGATCTTTTACTATTATTTCGAATTTTAAAGGTTTAGGTGCTAATTATGAAGTTCTTGTGCTTTAAGTGCTATGTCTTGGAATTGTGTGATTTAAATTGTAAAACATGGGATTATGAACATGGATTTGGGGCAGAAACATATTTATGAGGCTGCTGGAATTTATTGAGGTGAATTCAATGAGTGAAAGTGGTGAGAAACCAATTAAATGAGGGAACAAAAGTGTCTTTACTTTAAAGGCATGATTGTGCTATTTATTATGCATGTTTATATGGTTGCATGGCATAAATATGCATGTGTGATGTGTGTGTACGTGTGTGTATGTGGGATGTGTGTGTGTGTGTGGTGATGATATATGTGTTGGTTAATTGTGTAATTAAGTAGTTGATAATTTTATTTGGTTTTGGGGTATTTACTCACTTGATTGATATTTGTGATGTTTAAATGACTTTTACATAATTTGTAGTCATTCCATGACATGCATTTGTTTTTGACAAAATTGAAAGATTAATGGAATGTTTGGGTAATAAACAAATCGGATACGGTGGGCCGGTATCCAACTAGGGTTGAGAGGAGTGATACGAGTGATATGAGTGATATTGGATCCATAGACGGGCTCGAAACGGTTTATTATCCGAATATAGAAATTAATCTTTCACGGATCCGATAAATGAAAAAAATGATTTTTACACGGATTGCATTCATGAGCATGTTTGTGACTTATATGCTTTCGTACCTTTTGACTCGATTCTTGTTTGATGTTGTATGACTCGGTGAAGGTGATCGGAATGTTATATATACTATATATATGTATAACCTATTTTCAACCCTCGGTAATCCCTCGAGTTTCTTACTGAGCTTAATAGCTCATATAGATATTTTCTAATTGCAGGTAGTGCTAGTGGTAACCCTCCCCCGGAATGGACCGAGTAGTGGATCGAATTCTTGCCCGGAGTTTTTGGAAGTTCGAACGAGGGTTCTATAAGTGTGGCTAAGTACTATTTTGGTGATGTAATATAAAGTAACTTCCATTTTCGTTTACTATCGTACTCGTTTTTAAAGTACGGGACTTTAATCGGTAACGGATCCTCTTTTGGAACTTTATAATATATTGATCCGTTTATATTTATGAATAGTTCGTTTATTTCGTGCTTTTATCGTTCATCGCCAAAATATTTCTAAACTCTGATTTTTATTTCGAACCTACGTTTGATAGTGTAGCACTCGAATAAACTCCTTCTTAAAAGAAAATATATATTTATATATAAATATAATCGACTAAAGCTTTTCAAAACAATGTTGCGAAAAATTAATAGAATGGTTTTGAAAATGCAAGTGTTGATTTTTCGTATTTTAAAAGTGATCCTATAAGTTGCTTCCGCTAAATAACTTAATTCCGATAAACCGGTTCGATTTATCGCCGATAATAGAGGGGGTGCTACACATACTCTGCCGGTATTAGCCGTCACCACCATACCCAACCGCCATTACCTTCATCCGCCACTGCCCCCGCCCCATACACTGCCCCCATACGCTGCCCCCGTCACCACCATACCCACCCGCCGCCGCCGCCCTATACTCAACATGCTCGTGCCCCTTCTTTGTCGACGGAACTGTGGAATAGATCGCCGGTTGAAGTGGTCGGAGTTTTTCGGGAGAGATGGAACAGAGGAAAGGAGACGATTACCTATCCCTTTGGCGTTTGTCCGATTTGGGAGTGGGGGGTTTTGGTGAGCTATCTTCCAAACATTTTGCAGGAAAAGAAATATAAGGGGGCGGCATCAGGAAGCATTGTGTGTGTGTTTTGCGTGAAAATTGTGGAGAGTTTGATTGGGGATGATATGATTTGGAGAGAGGGTGTTTTAGAAATTGTCAAGGGCTGAATTTAAAATTTTTAAAGCTTCAATTTGGGGTTATGAAAATTTTGGGGCTAATATGTAATTTTACACTTTTTATTTAAAGGGTATATATATCTTTTCAAGTCAAAATATGCACCCCAGCCGTACAATGTACGCGTGCAGAACACGATAAGATGTTAGGGGCCTTATTGGCTTTAACTAACTTTCATAGGGGGTCCTAGCTAATTTTTTTAACACGAGGAGTTTTTCAGCAATTAGAGATTACACCAGAGTGGTTCTTGCAAAAAACCCATAATAATAATAATAATTGATCCCTCACAATGGTAACTCTAACATAATAATCTCTATGTTCTAAGAATATTCATTTAAATGTTCCAAATTTACCCATGTAACTTTTATGAGTACTATAGTTCTCAGATTTATAATTAACAATAAATTGGGTTAATTGTAATATATGTCGGGGGTGAAAGTAAAAATCTTAACATTATATTAAACAAGTGTAAGAACCTCAGAGTAAAATTGCTTTGCTCTTCATCTCCTTCAGTTGTATTTCTTCTTTGTTAAAGTTCAGAGACATCAAATTTATAGAAGCGAAAGCATTATTGTTCCTTCACGAATGGTGATAATATATATGTTTTTAACTGTTATATTAATGTTTTTTAATCGGCATAGTTGGGCATATATATATATATATATATATATATATATATATATATATATATATATATATATATATATATATATATATATATATATATATATATATTGATGATGCTAATTGCCTAGATCACCTGGGGTAAGTTTGGTAAACAAGCTAGGAGAGCAAAGCGGATCAGTAGCTTGACAATTTGATGATCGTGAGGTCCCTGCGAAAAGAACACACGTGAACTAAGCTGGGGGTTGATCCGACGGAAACCGCTCCGACGCTCAAGTCAGATGTACGGATAGTGGAGATGGTAGAGAGAATATGCACTCTAGAATACTTGTGAATAATCGAATATTAGAATTCATCTCCGTTGGGGTTCGTTAATACAATACCCGCGCCACCTCCTGTGGCTGTGGAAGTTCCATCAACGTTGACGGACCAAGCGGGGAGGGAGGTGTTCTCTTCTATTGAGGTCATTTCTACTAAGAAGTCGGCCAATACTTGCGCCTTGATGGCGGGGCGGGGTTTGAATTCTACCCCGTATTCACTCAGTTCTATTGCATATTGGGCTAACCGCCCGGATGTCTCGGGACTCCTTAATATATTCTTCAGGGGGTAGTTGGCAAGAACCACCACTTGATGTGATTGGATGTAAGGTCAGAGCTCCGAGTTGCGTTGATGAGGGCGAGGGCGAGTTTCTCCATGTTGGTATAGCGTTGTTCGGCTCCTTGAAGAGCGCGACTTATGTAGTATATGGGCTGGTGGTCTTTTTCTCCATTTTGGATGAGGACTGTGCTGATGGCATCAGTTGAGGTCGCTAAGTATAGGAGGAGGGTGTCTCCGGGCTGAGGTTTCGTGAGTAAGGATGGAGACGCGAGATATGACTTCAGCTCGACGAAAGATTTTTGACAAACTTCATCCCATTCAAACTTTTTTCCTCCCCTTAAAATCTTGAAGAAGGAGAGAGTCATGTCCGCCGATCTTGAAATGAATCTGTTCAAAGATGCCAAGCAACCGTTAAGCTGTTGGACTTTCTTGATTGATGTTGGTGGAGACATGGAGGTGATGGCTTCGATTTTCGTGGGATTAGCTTTGATTCCTCGTTGTGAAATCATATATCCCAAAAATTTATCTCAACTCCGAACGAACATTTGAGGGGGGTTGAGTTTCATCTTGTATTTTCGCAGGATGGCGAAATACTGATCTAAATCAGCTAAGTGGTCTGAGACCTTGACACTTTTGACGAGCATGTCGTCGATGCACACCTCCATATTCTTGCCGATTTGATCTGCGAACATTGCGTTCACTAGACGTTGGTAAGTAGCCCCCACATTTTTAACCCGAAATGCATGACTTGGTAGCAGTAGATGACTTGATCTGTGACGTAGCTGGCCCTCTGTTGATCTTCTGGGGCGAGCAAGATTTGATTGAATCCTTGATACGCGTCAAGGAATCTGAGGAGCTCGCATCCCGAGGTTGAATCGATGAGTTGGTCGATTCTAGGCAGAGGAAATGGGTCCTTTGGACAAGCTCTGTTGAGGTCGGTGAAGTCCACGCACAACCTCCACTTGCCCCCGGGTTTGGGAACAAGTACTACGTTCGACAACCATTCAGGATACTGAACTGGTCGTATATGGGCCTACCTCTAAGAGTTTTGTCACTTCCGTTTTGATGTGTTTGTTGCATTCGGGATCAAATGTCCGCTTTCTTTGTTTGATCGGCTTCAACCTTTTGTCGACGTTGAGCCGATGTAGAGCCACCTAAGGGGGAATGCCCGACAAATCTTGGGCTTTCCAAGCGAACACGTCTCCATTGTGTCGCAGGAAGTTGATTAGTTGATGTTCCATCTCTGGATCTATATCGGATCCGATGCGTAGGAGCTTGGAATCATCTCCAGGTCTGAGCTCTATGAGCTTAAGCTCTTCGACGGCCGCTAGCTTAATGTTGTCGTCTGGTACGTTGATGAGGATTTCTCTATTGTCCTCGATGATCGCGTTGACCCATTTCCGTTTGTCGGGTTTTTGGGTGTCGTCTCCCCTTCCGGACGGTTTGGGCTTCTTGGATGGTTCTCGTAGGGCTCTCGCATAGCACTCTCGAACGAGACGTCTATCTCCAAGTACCTCTCCCCTTCCATAAGGAGTGTGGAATTTCCACTTTTGGTGGTAAGATGAAGGCACTGACTTGAATGTATGGATTGCTGGCCTCCCTAAGATGATGTTATAGGGGGATGGCTTGTCGATGATGAGGAATTTTATCATCTTGGTAATTCGACAAGGGTTGTCCCCTAAGGAGATGGGCAACTCCACTTCTCCCATGGATAAAACGCTATCTCCAGTGAATCCTTTTAGCGATGTAGTTATGGGGCTAAATCGGGCGTTATCTATGCCCAACAGCTTGAATGTATAGAGATACATGATGTCTGTTGAGCTTCCACCGTCCACTAAAATCTTCTTAACCAAAAAGTTGGCCACCGACGCTGTGACTATCAACACGTCGACATGATCTTCGTTTGGGCCTTCAAGGTCCAAGGAGTCAAAGACTATGCTATGATCAGGTGTTCGTATCTGATAGATAGATGCGGATGGAGAAGCGTGCTCTTGATTCATACGTGGTGATCGAGCGAGCTTGCGTCTCGCATTTTGTGAGTCGCCACCTGCTGGTCCTCCGGAGATAAAAGCAATGACTCCACGGGTGGGTTGGTTATCATTGTTATCTTGTTCGCGTCGATGACCCCCTTCCTCTCGTCGTGGCGGTTGATCTTGATTATTATCTCGGCGTGGGAGGTCATCACGGCGCTTATTTCGAGGCTTATAAATGTATTCACCTAAGTGGCCCTGCTTGATCATCTTCTCAATCGCCAATTTGAGTTGTGCACATTCCTCGGTAGTATGTCCTTTATCTTTATGGAATCGACAATAGCGATCAAATCTTTCTCGATTTGCATTGGGCTGCATTGAGCGTGGAGGCTCTGCCAGACCTCTTTGCTCTATCACGTGAAGGATTTCAGTGAGGAAGTGTTCAACGGAGTGAATCGATTGTAGGAGGAAGATGGTTGGCCTTGTGGTGGGGGTGGTGGACGTTGGTCATCCCATCTCCTAACGTCCTGTCGGTAATCTTCCCTCTTCCTCTTGGGAGGAGCATGGGTAGAGGCTTCCTCTATTCGTACATATTTCTCAGCTCGATTCAACAATTCATCTAGGTTGCCAGGAGGTCTTTCGGCAATAAATTCTTTGAACCTACCCGGCTTCAAGTTTTGTTGCATGATCCGGATAGCATGTCTTGTCCTACGCTTGGGACTTCGTGGACGGCTTCCACAAAACGCTTGATGTAGTTGCGGAGCGTTTCGTTGTTTCTCTGTACAACAGAGAAAATGTGTGTTGGGGTCTTGGTATATTGTTTGTTGAAGGCGAATTGGTTGGTGAAGCGCTGCGACAATTGAGAGAAGGTGCCGATCGATCCTGTAGGTAGAGAATTGAACCAATTCATGGCCCGTTTGGAGAGAGTGGTGCGGAACATTTTGAATATTGTTGCATCTGTTGGGCCATACAAATCTGCCATGGCGTGGAATTTTTCTATGTGTTCTTGTGGGTCGGTGGTTCCTTCAAATTGAGGTAATCTTGAGATTTTCACTCATTGAGGTAATACCTCGTTGATGATGTCCATGGTGAAAGGACTGTGTCTTACTGGGGCAGACATTATTCCGCCAATTGGATTGTTCAATTGGGGGAAGGAAATTTGGCGAGACATTCTACTGTTTACCTCGCCTTCTCCCTTATTAAAGAGAGGGACTCTGTGGAGACGCATTACCCCGTGGGGGTGAGCGTTGACGTTGTTGTTTGGGTTGTGCCCCCTGTGATTAGTGGATAGTTGCACTCGGGACCGTGGGTCCGAGGTGGATGAAGACACACTTATTCGGTTCTGGACTGGCGGTGGTGTCATGGGCGGCACCACAGGTAGAGCAAGTGCGGGTATCGCGTTGGGAGCATTTGCTCCCATCGTGGCGATGTATTGGGTCACAGCCTCTGTGGCGGCGCGAGTTGAGGCTTCTGCTGTCATGCGTTGGAGCGTATCCTCTGTTATCTGAACCGTTCGAGAAAGAGAGAGTGGCGGATCGGCGAGGGGTGGATCCCGAGGGGGATTCACTTGGACATCACGAGGGGGATCGGGAGCACGTGAAGGAGGTGGCAAGCCAGAGCCTCCGCGGACCGGGAGGTTGTTAGTTGTGTCATTTTCTCTCCAAGTGGATGACTCGGGAGGATCTTGCTGACTACGTGATCAGGTTTGCATTCCCACAGACGGCGCCAAAATAATGATGCTAATTGCTTAGATCACCTGGTGTAGTATAGTAAACGAGATAGAAGAGCAAAGTGGATCAGTAGCTTGACAATTTGATGATCCTGAGGTCCCTGCGAAAAGAGCACACGTGAACTAAGCCGGTGGTTGATCCGTCAGAAACCCCTCCGACGCTTAAGTCAGATGTACGGATCGTGGAGATGGTAGAGAATATGCACTCTAGAATACTTGTGAATAATCGAATCTACCTTAACAAATGAATAAAAACCTCTATTTATATGTCGTTGATTGGGTTGGGTTTACTTTGTTGGGCCCAAGCCTTATTTTGAAGGTGTTTGGGCTTTTGTGTAACGGGCCTACTTGGGCCTTCGTGTAGTGGACCCGATTATTATATAAATTGGGGGCCCGTTGGGTTGGAAATATATATATATATATATATATATATAGATAGATATATGGTTATTGAATACTTGCCATGAGATGGTTAGTCATTAGTAAGTAACGTAGCTTTACTCGATCATTTATTTTTTCATAAGTAGTGTTTACACTTTGCTTACAAGCTTCTCCTGCTATCATATACTTGAATAGTAATTATTTTCGTTGAAAACAAGCCTAACCTTTTTTGCTTAATGTTATTCGATCTTTTGTGCTGGTCACAACAAGGTAAGCCTTTTATCTCGACATCATCCTCTATGATATGATATGATTTCCCTGATTTGGTTATATAAGTCTGTTTCTTGATTTCTTGTTTGGTTTTGACATTTGACTTAACAATTTCATCAAGGGAGGGAGGATCGATATATAGTAAAAGCTGTGTGATCCAATACTATTATATTTGCTTAAACTTAGTTTTCGATCATTGACCGTACCTATATATTTTGCAACAATTTTATACGCATCTGATCAGTTATGTGTTGCTCGTAGAATTCTCTGTTGGAACAATAAATAGATCCAACGTAACTCTTCTTAGGAATACGTAGTTTATAATATTTTCTGAATGTATTTGGAACAATAATATAGATCAGATGCAATGTAAATAATATAGACCTTTGGCTACTATACTGGTTGTTATTATGCAGAATGTTTAATCCTCTAATGCTCTAGTTAAATTCGGTGTTTATTTTCTGGATCCTATGTTTTGACTTTTTTGCGCCTTTTTTGGAGCATGCGATATGATCCCATCTTTTGTTTTAAGTCAACGTAACTAGATTTCTTATTTTAATCGTAACAAAATCCGTAATCTGAGAGATCATAGCAATCTTATTTGGTATATTTAGTTATTTTCCGTTTGCTTAGTTATATGTAGAAACTAAATTGTATAATTTATAAGGCAACTTGTGTTTAGGTACTAATTAATATTTTCTTTATGTTATAACATATATTGTTCTTGAATTCATGGCGTCTCTTAATTTGCACGCTTTGGGCAAATTTGAAGCCTTAGAAATTTGCGAGGTTGAATCCATCATATATAAAACGCACATATATACTTGCCTATATATATATATGGTACAACTTTCTAATGACTTTATACATGCTGTCATGTAATGGTGGATCGGCGAGTGGTGGGTCCCGAGGGGGATCATTTGAACCTCGCGAGGCGGATCCATGGGACGTGGAGGAGGTGGCAAGCTAGAGCCTCCACGAGGTGGGAGGTCGTTAGCTGTGTCATTTTCTCTCCGAGCAGACGCCTCAGGAGGATCTTGTTGGCTACGTGATCTGGTTTGCATCGTTCCCACAGACGGCGCCAAAATGATGATGCTAAAAAGTTTAGATCACCTGGGGTAGTGTAGAAAACGAACTGGGAGAGCAAAGCAGATCAGTAGCTTGACAACTTGACGATCCTGAGGTACCTGCGAAATGAACACATGTGAACTACGCCGTGGGTTGATCCGGCGGAAACCCCTCCGACGCTCAAGTCAGACGTGCTGATCATAGAAATAGTCCAGAGAATACGTATTGTAGTATTGCTCAGTTAATAGGGCGTCCCTTAAGGAATGAGTTCAAACCTTTATTTATAGCTTAGTCGAGATTGTCGGGCACAAACCTTACTTGAAGGTGATTGGGCCTTGGTGATAGTGGTCTTCGATATTGGGCTCGTGGCCCTGTAGGTAAATAATTTGTAGGCCCATTGGGCTGGCCCAATTAGGCATATCAATCCCCAAATACAAACTTAAAGCGCGAATCAGTCCCTACAGACGTTTTATAGGCGGATCAGTCCATACTGCATAGTTTCACATGCAGTTCAGTCCCTATGTTTATATTATTATATTATTTTTTTCTCTCTCTGTCTCTCTCTTCATTTAATTTTTCTCTCTCTTCATTTTTTCTTTCTTTTCTCTTTCCTCTTTTTCTGTTTCTCTTTTCTCTGTTCTTTCCTTGCCCCGTTCCAATTCAAAACTCAATTTTCAGTTATTTTTCTTTAAACAACAAATGATAAGGCGCAAGAGAAAACTCGTGAAGAAAACAAAATGAAAAGAGGAAAGAGACTCATTCTCGAAGAATTGTGAAGGGGAAGAAACAAGATTTGATTTTTTTTCTTCTAGTCACATATTTAAAAAATGTTTGATAGTTTGATATAGGTTCTAAGAAAGACGCTTCTCGTATTATTTTTTGAAACATTTTGTGTTTTATGTGACTGCAGTAGTATATGTCGTATTAAACAATAGTATTGCTAGTGTGGTTGGATGGTGTTGAAATAAGAGATGAAAAGTACTAGTATTGCTAGTCATGTAGTAGAATAAATGTGTGAACATAGTACGCTTACGTCTAGAATCAAGTATATTTGGTTCAGTGGTGAAGTACGTGTTGTCTAAGTGAGTATCATGTCGGTATTTTGAGGCATTTTGAACTCTTAACGTAACACCATTGTTCATCAATCTTAAAATACTCATTTAAAATATATTTTGTCCCTCCCACTCTCACTAATCACTAAATTTATTATGAAATTGGTACAATTCAATTCATTATAATTATGGTACAATTTATTCTACATAGAAATGAATGCATTACACCAATGATGCTCATGTTGTCCATTCATAGAGTACGCTTCTTTCAATGAAAAAATAGATGTTCTCCATTTATATGGTACGCTTGCTTTATAGATATTATTTTGGAACCAATGCAACAATATAAACTCATTTTCTGAGGGGTAAGTACATATAAATCGAACATTCAGTATTATTTTGCTTTATATTTGTAATAATATATATTTCGGAAAACCCTACTTAATTTTTGGAATAATAATAATCGAACATTCAGTCTTTTTTTTCAACTGCATTCTTTGTTTTGTTTATCAAGTTTATGATTATCACATGAATTATTATAACACTTAACAACGTTAACTAAGAGTTGTCTTAACAATATCGATCACGAGATTATACATGTAAATTATATTAATTAATTTTATTTTCTAATAATAGCGATGATTAAGGACAAGAAATAGTTATTATTGGCCACTAGTTAGGGCTATATATCTTTATTATTATTATTATTATAGGAAAAAGGCAACGAGCACTAGCTAGGAGAAATGAAGGTGATGTGAACTGTGAAGGCA